AATGTTAATTTATATAGCCCAGATTGTTTTACGATGGAACCGGTCATACTTGTTTAACTATATTGCATCTTATAATTTACTGCGACCTACCTTGAAGAATTGTGGTGAAAAAATAGACTCGTTGCTGACGGCCTTGCTCCGGAACTCGATTAAATTTGCGTTGCATCAGACTACGAAAGATAGAGACTAGTAATATAACTAAGAGAGTAAACCATATTCGAGTAGATCGACAGCTAGTTTAATGCGACTATATACCAAGGTACTATTACGGGCAATTTTTAAGCTCCAAGAGGAGATGAAGTAAAGACAAGAAAGAATGACCAAAGAAGCTAGAACACTATAATTATAACCGTTATGTAAGACCCTTAAAAAATTCAGAGCGGTAGACGAGAATTTTAAAGACTTCAAGATTACCAAATTTAACGAAAAACCGCCCTTCATGGCAGGATAATAGATATAAGTCATAGTGAATGTATCACAATTTTGAATATGTCAAAAATAATGGAAGGTCAAAAGGTTTAGCTGAACAAAATATCTCTGGGGGATTGAAGTGTAACTTTTGCGATGGCCTCATATCTTTAATTATTCTGGTTTCTATAAGAGGAATAATAAAGATTATAGACTTCTAGAACGCGGTTACTCCCAGACTAAAGGCGATATAATGTAATGAAGAAAACTAAACTTATAATGGGGCAGTTGAAACCGTAAAAGGTAGCATGGGAAAAGTTAAGTTAGATTATTAGGTCTACGTAACTGAAAGTAGTTTTAATTCTGAAAGCTCGCTAACTAGTTATAGGTTTAGACAAGGACTGAGAAGCAGAGAAGAGCCTAGCCCGGTGATTAGGTGAGGAAATGTGCTCCTGTGAACACTTTAAGGTTGGTACGAGATAAAGGAGCAATATATTGTTGGTCATTTTTTACCTCAAGAAAATAATTCAAAAAAAGAAAAACTTGAAAATTTTGGGCTTAAACTAATTACTATGAACCAGTCAAACGTTAAAAATAAAAAACCAACTGGAGTATACTATGATGAGATGTATTATAAATGAGTGAATTTGAATGTGTTGAAAAAATGTAAGGGCGTAGTAAGTGAGACCATATATAATAAGTTTAATGAAGCTTGAACCAATTTAGAATTAGTTTAAATATAAGATCTCACCGATGTGGCCTAAATATCAAAAGAAGGATATAGTAAAGATAGCCCCGTTTTTAGAAAAGACGCCAGACTTGGATTGAAATCATATTTACCTCCCAGTAAATTGCCTAAAATCAAGTGGATTTTAAGACTTTGGGTTGTAAACCCCGTTTTAAATTTTAATTTATTTGCTTACATCCGTAATGTGTCTTAAATTCTTCTGATATAAAAGTTTAGCTATATTTTTAAATTTTGAAAGTTGTGCAGATTAGGGTAATTTTAAAATCTAGTGTTAGCGCAAGCTAAATCACTAAACTCCCTATTCATCTCTCTCTACCTATTTCGATTACAGGTGCCATAGTTTAATATTAATAAACTACATTAGCGTTTGATTCAATATTCGCATCTGCATAGGGCAGGGGCTCAAAAAAAAATAAATTCTAGAGAACATCTCGACCATCCCGAGGGACTGTGGGGTAGCACAGGCATCGATATCGGCCCTAAAACTTTGCCCAGTAGAGGTGGCCCTGGGCTATTAATCTTTTACTCTAAACAAGTTCATTTATCTTTACTGTGTGACCTTTCATTAATGAGTATGTGTGACTTATTAAAAGTACCTTAATTTGGTTCCTTACATTGTTAACATTTAACTTGGAAATCCCACTTTATTAGGCTTTATTAATGTAAAGTTAAAATGTTAGTTAAACTTTGAGAACTATGATCTGGAGTATATGTAGAATTACAGGTAACTTTGCAAACATATCGCAAGGGCGATATACTTTAGGTCTTAATCTTTCTCACTTCTAGCGCAACAAAGTCAGTATTATCTTGATGGGGCCAATGGCACATTTACATTCATTTTATATAGAAGTAATTGCAGAATAATATTTTGGCGTTATGCTAGACCACAAATCCCCTTAAACTTCCATGTCAATTTTATCTCTCTTAAATCCGCAGTCATGAATAGTATATACACTTTATTTTGCGTGAAGAGAGGCATTACGATACAAACAAATTGTAACTCTATCTAATGGCTATGACTAATTATAATTTGCATTCATGGCATGATCAAATTTTTTAAAGGCTCACATTAAAAAACTACTGGAAATAGAAATTTGCGCCTTGTAATTATTTACTACTTTACACTGTCCTTTTGCTTAAGAAAATTCCTTAGGATAATAAAAGCCTTCACAAGTACGGGAGATAAATTATTAACTTGACTGACCTGCTATTAGACCCGGCTCCACTTTCCAAAGTGGTCCCTTTTAACCTCTTGTTAGGGCACGTGGCTACTTGCGTAAGGAGAAGCCATAGTTGTGTCTATCTTCATGATCTAAGCGCCCTTTCTTACTACGGGAACTGTTTATGTTCTACTTATCTGTTCGTTCTGTATCTATCTTTTCTAGTCTTCTTGCCTTGTTTGTTCTTCTATACTTTTTCTGTTCCTTTTACTTCCCCATATTTTATAAAGTGGTATAAGTTTTATAAATCTATAAAATGTTATTTTTATACACTGCGCCCGGCAATCTTCATGGAAGTTCCCTTTTGAAGCAATACACCTGCTCTGTTAGATATATCTATGCTTTCACACGTTACAAATGATATAGTACATTTAAGCCCATACAATGTGGAGCACTTTGCGTAAGCATAATGAAATAGCCCTCGAATAAGATACTGGAATGAAAAAAAAAAACTACTGCAATATAGCTGCTATCTTTTAAAAAGTTACAAAAAGAACCACGTGTCTAAATTAGCTATAGTTGTATAACGCCTTTTAAGCGGGTTAATACTTTCATTACACACTCCCAATAAGAGTACGAATTTGCTTGTTTTATTTGCACTCTAAGGTAACCTTCACACTATGATAACAAACGATTTTATAGCAACTTACAATGGAGAAGCCTATTGGTTTCAAACTCTAGCTTTTGGAGAAGTTCTACTTATAAACTTTGGTAAAGAGCTAAACATGGGAAGAATGGTTATGTCCGTAAAATTAAAAGAGGTTTTATGCCATTGACCGGCATTGTATTTGTTAATTGTTTAATTTTTAGTTTATTATTATATAATATATATATAAATTTTAGACTTTGCAGAGTTATTAACTTGCACTTTTTAAGTTCATATGTGGGTTTACTTAACAAGTTATTTAGGGATTAGCGGCTTCAACCATCTTAAAAGGCTCCACAATGGGGCCTCGGGCTTTGGCAGAAAGACTTGGTTACTAAATTTTCTTTAACCAATTTTGTTAAATTTTCTGTTATTGAAACTTTAAAAAAGCGCTTCGAACAGGAAAACAAATTATCATTATTACAAACTTGACTGAACACCAACAGTTACTTCTCTTTTGTGAGAGAACTCTAATAGAAGAAATTAATAAGAATCCACACAACTTTTTAGTCAGCTGCTTTTAACAAAACTCGTTGCATAAAAAGATTTCTCTTATGTATCAGACTATAGTTTTCAAATAAATATTTAGAGCGGATAATTATATCAGTAGAGAAAGGTTTTCTATTAATAAATAACAAAGCTTACTAGATGGTATTAGTAATGAACCCAACTTTAGTTAAATCTATGTTCACATTTAATAAGTACAGCTATAACGATAGGTATAGCGTTGTTTAAGCTCGGGATGACCTATATATAATAGTAAGAAAACATGCTAGTGTTAAACTGAAAGTCCACTGCAGTTGTATTCGAAGGAATTTGCTTTATATATTTATTACGTAGACATTCTTCGTACTATTTCCATTAATATAATACTTTACAAAGGGATGTATAAAACCCGAATTTATAAGAGGTTAAAAATTAACAGCCGTCTTATTTTTCACAATTTAATAAAAGTGACTTTAATTCTACACTAAAAAATTTCCAATAAAATTTTAGTTAAAAAACAATAAAAATACCCGTCTATAGAATTATACTTTTTTTTCATAAAGGTTATATTCAGAGGTAATAAGCAAAACGTACGTCTAACAATTTTTTGTAAGCATCTTACCATTGTGCCTTATATATTTGAACTAATTTCGCCCTGTAAATAACCATATTGCTTTAGTACTTCTTAAATAGACACACTACTTTTACCACTTCAGCCAGTTATTTTTACTAAACAATTTATTAGTCTTAAAAGGAATTAATATCGTTCTTCTATATAAATTAGACAGAACCTTTTACAATCGAATTCGATCCCTGAAATAGAATATTTATGACTTCCTTAAAATATCGAGAGCATAAAATTAGGTTTAATTTAAAAGGTTTGATTCCAGACAAAACTTATAATTTTCGTACAAAGATAATCATATAAAACTTCATGACCAAAATCAGGCGATCTTAAAACAAAGTTATGGAATAATAAAATGAAAACATAAGTTATAATTAATACTTAAAGACAGGATAAAGATTGTTAACTTATAAAACCAAGTTTAGACACTGGTTTAATAAAAGATTTTAATTTGTTTAACACAGATCTAAGTCTCAACTATAATCATTCGACGTATAGTGGGATATGAAAGCTTCAATCTATCCAAAATAAGATAGTAATCCTAAAAAAATCTTTTTATACATAAATACAACGAAGAAAAAATTAACTGTTTTTCGGTTTCGCCAATATAAAATATAAATTTTTATTAAGATTCCGATAATATGTAAAGTTAAAATCACTTTGGCTATGTATTATTTTAAACTATTCATCTTCGGTATCTTCATCTTCTTCGTCTTCATCAACGTTCTCATCCTGTTCCTCATTACTTTCATCTTCTTGGCTTTCAACATCGCTTTCTTCTTCCTCACCGTCGACATCGTTTTCAACATCTTCGTTTATATCGTTTTCGTCTACGAATATTTTAATTAAAAAAAAAAAAAAGAGAGGGAGGCTAAGTATAAATGGGGCAGAGAAACAGATATGGTAGGATGCTTGCTTTCAAATAAAAAAAATCTCACCACTGTCTACATTTTCATCATTTGAATTCTCTGAACATTCGGAAGAGGAAACTTCAACATTATCCTCGTCCGCTACTTCAGATTTTTTATTTTTTTTCTTATTTATATATTAAGTCAAAAAAAATATTTATAGTTATAGAGGGCTTACCGCAAGTTTAGAGGCTTTATTTTCAAGTTCTTTAGTAGCATTTCTTTTTGAAACAGCAGCAAGCTCTTCTCTGAAAATTAAAAATTAAATACTATAAAAGCGTACACCTTTCAACCAAAAAAAATACGTGGTCGGCATCATGGCTTCAAGACGCTTAGTAATTTGGAGGGCTTACCCAGAGAATTATATAGGGATTTTTTTTTAAAAAGATAGCACGTGATAATTAACGTTGTCACGTGGACAGCAATTTCAGTGAGTAATCAAAAAAACTTTCATGTGTTTTTCAATTTTTAGAAAGGATAATAATAATTTTTTTAATTCTGAAAAAGGAAACTGAAAAAAAAACTGTTATTTACTTGCATATTATAAAAGCCAATTAAGTCAATTGTTTTTATATAATTTAATTAGTAAACATATTTTTAAATTGACCAAAATATTAATCCGAATATTTCTTTGGCAGACAAGTTTTAAACTTGCGGCGGACTCTTGGCGGAAATTTTTTTTTTAAATGATTATTTATAAAGAAAATGGCGTCTTATTTCATTGTTGTTTTTCCTTTTATGCATTACCGTTGTCAATCTAAAGATATTAAACTTTACTGCCAGCGAAGGATTTGGTTAGGTGGTTTTAGTTCCGAGAAGTCGGTATGTACACTTGCCATACGTTATTCCATTTTCTTAGATATATTGAGTTAGTACGAACAGCTTAATTTACTTTATAAGAATTAAAATTAGTGTAAAAAAATTTTAAAACTACTTAAAATTTTAACTGTATATACTACAGCATAAAATTTTAAATGGCTTTATTTAAGAAACTTCTTAACTTAGTTTTCAAAATTTTATCGTAGGCTATCGGAAAGCTTTAGCTTTAATAATAGAATTTAATAATGAGGTAAGGTTAAGATTTTTTTACAAGACATACTTAATTTTTATTTCTTATAATCCCTTAGAAAAATTTAATACTATATATTATTACTTTAGATTATTATTATAATATTAATTATTCATCTATTAGCTATTATTAATATTTGTCTATACTAAATAATAATACTTTTTATATATTATATTTTTATTTATACTTTATTAAATTTTACTTTTTAATTAATATTTATAATATTAATTATATTTATTATATATTTATTATAAATAATTTTTTAACTCGCTTTGCGATACATTTTTGCGAGCTTCTTTACTAAATTAAATAATAAAGATCTCAAATCGTTCAGGATATGTATACGTGAGTTACCATAGTTGATAAGTAAAGAAGAATTTAATAAAAGGTAGCAGTTGTTAGTTAATAAATATTTCTGTATATAATAGTAATAAATTATAATATGTTTCTACAATGTTTAAAAAGCTTACTGAGATTATTACAATACACTGATGCGCTAAGTAAAAAAGTCTTCTTTTATTTTCACTTTAAACTAACTAGGCTGTTTTAAGACTTTTTAGTCTCATTACTTAAATGTCAACTTTCGGTGTCCCCCTTCAGAGTGCCTTAATTCCATGTCAAAAATAATATTAACTTAGAGACGTCAAGTGTATAACGCCACAGAAGTTTATTATTTTATTAAGGTGTTTTTAGTTTATCTTAACTCTGCTAATTTTATGTACTTATTAAAAAAGGTAAGCGCTTAACTCAGTTTACAAAATGAAAGCTTTTTATAACAGGCTAAAAAGTTAAAATATAGTCTATAGCTTTGAGAACCTGTTATTTCCGCCTGGTTTGTTAGGGCAAAAAAACGCTATTGCTAAAGTAAAAACCAGTTCAAGCTTTGCTCATTTACTAAGGAAAGTAAATACTTAGAAGTTCTAAATCCGGTCGCACTAAGGTAATAAGTTGCATATGAATTTGTTAGACGGCTTCACTACACATGCTACTTCTAGCTTGAAAGCGTGAACTTTACTAATATTCTTTGCCTTACAATACTCAAATATAAAACTTTCAGCCCTTTACCTCAAGTTTTACGCACTAAACTTTGAGTCCGTTCATCATAAGCTTTTGATCTTAGGTGAGCTTAAATTTAGGGCAGCCGGAAGGGTTAGGGTTATAAAGATAAAACTCTTAAGGGTTATTAAACTAAAGGGAAAACTAGACTGTAGCATGGTTGCTCTGTAAGTAAATTTAAACTCCTGTAGTGAAAGGCTACAACTTAAAATAGAATCGTTACTTTATTAAAAGTGTTAGTGATTTTATGTTAATAGAGGTAGTCAGCTCTGATAATTTTAAAAGTTCCTCTGGATCAGTGACCTACCTAGAGTAATGTTTTTATCTTTGTTTAAGTTCCTAACTTAAAAATATTGCCTGTGCTAACAAAAAAAGTAAACTGGTTTATTGAAGTATAAGGTCGCTTAACAAATTAATTGGGAAACCTTTTACATTTTTTTAGATGGTGTACTTCTTATAGCTTTTCCCTCTATTGTACTTTAGACTTTTTTAATAAAATTTAAATTAGTACGGATTAACATTGCTAGTGGTTTAGCAAACCGTTGTAAACGGCTTAAGGAAATAAAGTTTGTCTGTTTGTGACATTAAGACCTTCATCTCACGCACTATCTTTGTGCATATATACAACATAAAATATACCTTAAAGTTTCTTACTTGTTTGCTTTTTATAATACTGACTTTACGTCCATGAAAAATACTGTTACCTGGATGATCTTTAATACGTATAATTTTGGCTGTTATAAGTAATGTTTTTTAGTAAATAAGTTTGGAGGTTACTGTTTACGAAAGGTTTTCCTTAATATCTTAAAAAAATTTTAAATTGTTTTAAATTAAAAACGTTGAAAATATGTAATTGGACTTTTCACCGGCTTTAAAAGAAAATACTTGTGATTTATATAATAATATAATAGTAAACAGACCCAACTATTTTTGTTTAAAGGTACGTAACAAAGGCAATTAGAGAGCAGTAACTTCAATATAGAATCGTTGTTAAAAGATTTGACCAAAGCAAAAAAATATATATTATGCAGATATATGCAAGCCAGTAAAGCTGTTATTAAGTGCAAAATTATGTTAAGAAGAAATATTATCTTACCAATAATTTAGAGGATATTAAAGTATTATCTGAGTCGTTAAATTGTATTGAAAATATCTTTTAAAAAAATGAAGGTAAGTCTTCTATATAACTTTATTCAATAAGGATATTTTAAATAGAAAAAGATTTATCCACAAAAGTTTATAGAAAAGTCATTAATAATATTAAATAAGTCCTACCCAACATCAACATAGTAGAAGTAGGTCAGAGTTATTAACATTCTAAAATAATTTAAATTCCATACATTTGAAAATAAAGCAAAGGTCGTATATGACATACCCTTCAATTCGGAGAGATATTGTACTCTTAAGCTATCAATTGCGAATCTGGTCAAGGGAAGTAAAAAATAGGCACTCTAAAAATAATTACCTAACTAATCACACGGTGTAAAACGATTAATACTTAATAACAAAAAAAAGGAAATTTCTCAATTAACCATAAAACCTGATGGTGTCAGAAGCGTAATATATTAACAACGTTGGACTTCCCACCTCATACCGGATTGACAGCCGGGGCTCAGCTATTAAGAGCATTGTCGCGCAAACTAAAGGCCTTGGTTGGCTTTAAGGGGTTTCGTTTTATACCTCGACCTTTTAAATTCCAGTACCACCAAGCCAAACCAAAGGGTGCTGGAAATTATTTATAAATTTATCGAGTCCTAATACTACATAGCCTCATACATAGTGAGCTCAAACCTTTCTTTTACGTGAATTCAATTTGAAAAGGTTTTTTTATAAGAAACACCACGAATACATAGAGTAATAAACTAAAAAAATACAACATGAAAGTAATGTATGAGGGTATAGGTTATTAGCATAGATAATGTAATTTGGTGCGTTATTTTTGATTAGTCTCTAGTCTCGGTGCAATGCAAGCCCCTATAAATCCCAAGGCGTAGTTACACAGCCGAAGAAATTACTTTGGCGGGCTTGTGATTTTCTAATGCCCCCTAGGAGGGTAGGCCAAGCAGAGGAAACATTTACGAGTGTAGGTCTTAACATGCCTTTATAAAGAAATATTTAACTACTTTTTCGCATCGTAAAGGGTATAAATCATTATTAATAGTTTTAAATCAGTAGTTAAATAGTCTAAGTGAGCGTCGTGTGCTTGAATTCGTGATTTAGACTACTATAAAATATTTAGCCTGGTGCACAAGGCGGTTGTTATTAAATAATCGTAAATTATTCACAGGAAAATGTATTTTTATAGGGGAATCAGTCAGGTCTTACATTTTTTGTTGAATTAAGCTTATGTTTGTGAGGTGTAAACCAGTTATCAAAGTATGACTGCATATTTTTTATAGCATACTGGGTAAGGGAGAACCCTTGTGGTAATTATTTCAGAAATGAAAATAGAGAAAGCCTAGGAGACAAAAAAAGGAGCTTTGTCGGGGAGCAGCTGAACGGAGGACTAATCGGAGATTAGGGTTTCTATATTTATTTTTTCTAACAAGGACTCAAATAATTCTCTCAGGTACGTAGAGATATTATCGCTTGCCTTTGTTAAAATAACCCTCGAGCTATATGAATTTAAAGGCTTCCTCAAAGTCTTAGAGTACAAGTATTGTAGCTTTGTAATCATTTAACGCTTTAGTAACGCGCTCAGAGACTCGAAATCTCGAGATCTGTTGAGCTGCATAATGACTAAACGTACATCACCAATCATGGGCTTCTTTTTTCGAAATTTTAATACTTTTTTAAGAGTAGCACTACTACGACTTTTCCGAAGTAAGATAACAGGCTTATAAGGCGATAATCTTTGATTGAGTGATCAAGGTAGTAATATTTGGGATTATAAAGACATGAGAAGGTTTTCGGCGTTCGGGAATTCGTCTTCCAAAGATGTACTATATGTATCAATTTGAACTCATCAGTATTTTAAGTTGATGGGAAATCTATAAGCATCAGATTAGCTATAATATCTGAACCGCTCTCTTTTTTAGTGGCTAATGTACTTACTCACAAATACTTTTTTCCAGCGCGGTAATGTGGATTAACAGGCGTCCGTTCTTTCTTAGTTTGAGGGATAGTAAAAAATGAAAAAGTAAATGCAATTATCATTATAATAGTGGAATCTCCAGTATTCTACAAACAGAGTAGCATTTTCTATAGGAAAATAAAAGACGTGAATTTTGTAGTAAATCAAATATGAATTTAGTGAGGTCTTATTTTAGTTCTTCAGTCACCCCGTAACTTCTATAAAGAATGGCAGGAGGTTTTTAAATTTATAAGCCCGTCTTCCCATGCTGTTACGATTCTGGAGATCGTAAGATACCCTGACGATAAGGAGCTCCCAAAGGTGAACCTATAAGAGTTAAAATATAATAAGGAGGAAAAAATCCAAAAAGGTAAACTAGTTAATCTTAAACAATAGTCAACAAAGCTAAGATCTTAGCAAGAGTGGAGGTAATGAACAACAATACCAAAGCTGTGCGCAGGTGGAAATAGAACTTATAAAAAGACCGTAAAAAAGAAACAGAAATTAGAAATTGGATGTAGCTGAAAAACTAACTTAAAGAGAAAATATGCGATAGGTGCTTTGTATAACGTAACATAGTCTGCCCACACACCCTAAGTTGGAAACCTTAAATATCTGTTTAAGCGCTAAAAACGCAACTCTTAAAATTTTCATGCATTGGCGCATACAAACATAATATATTTAATGAATATTGTATTGATATCCTTTTCTTCTTTTTAATTTCGTTAGGTTAACAGGTTGAGAAAATATTAACCATATCAATGTTATTGAGTCAGAATCTAACTCCAAAACCCGTCAAGATCGCAAAATTTTTGGTATCAGGATGGAAAGTGCAGGATGGGTTTCTATATTTAAATCCACTCACCCATGCCCAAAATTAAGTCTATTCCTTCTATAAAGGGAGTAGTTTGGCAGTGTATAAATATCACTCTAAATGAATGTGCTTGTCTGTCATCAAAAACACTTGTATTTTGATGTCTTCCTTTATCAAGCAAGTTAACAAAAAGGTTTCATTTCTGTTTATTTCTGTTTATTTCGAATTGTGTTAGGAGAAATTTTTGTTAATTATAAGTATATATATTTTGATTAATATTTATATTATTATTTAAATCATAATTTTCGATATATAATACTATTTTAGTATAATTATTAATGCTGTTAATATTGTTATTATCAGTCTTGATTCTCATATTACTAATAATTTAATTAAATTTTGTCATCGGCGCTTTGCTATGTTTGCATTAACTATATTAATACTCTTACCATTGTTGTCGTTACCAATAGTGTTATAGGCCATACTTGCGTCGTCTTTGAGTATTCTAGACGGGTTATGATAGGCAAGCGCTAGTGTGTACTTAAAGTTTTGAGAAGTTTGGTAGTTTTTCTTCTCTTAAAAGTGTGGTCGTTAGCTAAAAGTTTCTCATAGTTGTCTTTTTTCTGTTAAGCCCTTTCAAGTTTTATTTGTGATATTTAAGGTTGCTCTTTTTTAACCATCGGTGGAGGCGAATAGTTATTCCAAAAACTTTGGATTGTATTTTCGGGTTACAGAATGTGCCAATTCAAAAAACCTTGTTATAAACTCAAGGTTTTCAAACGAAAAATAAAATTAAATAATAAAAAATTATTTAGTAAGTTACAAATAATATTTATATAATTATTAATATAAAAAATAAATAAAGTATTCAAAGTACGTAATATATGTAAATATATAATATATTAATGTGAAATCTGTTGTGATATGCTAATAATTCTCTCACGAAGTCTTTTATAATTTAACATTAATACAAAGTTCTTTGCGCGGTTGGCGGTAGGGGGCGTAATTGAGCACTTCTACCAGTAAATAATTGCTTGGCGCCCCGTGTTAAACATTAATAGGGTGTAGTAGCACTGCGTCGGTAGCCAGAGGCTTAACTGAAAGTCTTGATGAAAGCTTCTTTTTGAACAAATCCCGGGATATACGTCATGAGGCGTAGCAGCTAAATTAGTTTCACTTAAAGAGAGGTAGTTGGTCGCGGTGTTCTCGGAGTCTCAAAACAATAGCCTTTTTTTCATTGCATTGTAAAGGAGCTGAGAGGCCAATGTCGAGTTGATGAGGTAGCATTTACGATTTTCCATTATTTGCATCTGATTAAACATCATGTTTGGTAATCCCGTCGAGACCTGAAGCCTTCCGTAGCCAGTAGAGCTCTAATAATCTCCATGATTTTGACTTTGATGATTGGCTAAAGCTGTTCTTTGGCGTCAGTGAGGAAGTTCGACTCACAAAGGTCATCAATATTATTTGTACGTATTATTACTGTATTAATTACTATTATTACTATTAAGACTATTAAGATTACTTTTAAAATTACTTCCATTATGATTAATGTTTTTATCAATGTTGTTATTTTTTTAGTGCTTTTTCCAAGTCATGACTACCTAAAAGTAGTTTAAGCATTTTATTGTCCTCTATGAGGTCATCCAACATTGAATTTTCGAGCTCTCGATAAGTAGTCAAACACTTTTAAGGGTTAAAGTGTGATCATGCGAACTTTAGTAAGTGAGTTGTTAGCAGGCAGTATCTGCGCCCAGTCGCTGTTCGTATAAGGTTAAAGTCAGGTTAAGAGATTGCATCAGAGCACAGAGGCTCGGGTCTAGGTAGAGCGTCCGTCATGGGTAAAAGTTTGTTAAATGGCACTTGAAGCTTAAGCAGCCCACACGTGGAGGGCGAATATCATGGTTAAGCGTACGCACAATACATGAATTGGCCAAGTGTTGCGTGATGAACTTCTGTTTAAATTTAACAGCAGAAGGTATAGCGTCACTCTCCTTCACTACATAGCACACGCGACCGTTATAACAAATTTTTATTGAAAAAAAATTTGTTACTCTTTTTTGAGTCGCCAAAAAACCCAGGTAAAACATAGTGAAGCCAGTGCTGTAGTTCTTAAAACACCTTATCCCTTGCCACGTTGGTTGTTAACGACAGAGGTTAGCAAAGTGCGAGTAGAGAGCAATGCAGCTGCCAAAGCGTAAGAGCAGGTCCGTATCGTCTGCATATAAGGAAACTTAAAGCGTAAAAGTCTGCCTGCAAAGGCACTCGAGCTGCGTAAGTAAAATGGAGGGTTACGCGGCAACCATACTTTATAGTTGAAGTAACGGTTAAGTGGAGAATGGCATTGGAGATGGCGACGCGTATATTAATCGGTATTTTATTAAGCTTTTGCAGATAATATTGCGGCCATGATATATGGAGGTTTGTATATATTTATATCTCGCCTATTTAGCAAAGGTATTCGTATGTGTGTGCATTGTACGGTTAAATGGCTCTCGCTTCATTAACGCACCAGGATTGAAAAACAGAAACTTCCGCTAGCGGTTGAACTGTTTATCGCGTTTCTTTATTAAATGCCAATGCAATAAGGTAAGTATAACTTTAGGTTGTAGACTTTAGAGACAGCATTGAACTTCCACTTCACCTAACCACAAACTTGCTTTTTTTTAAAGTGGTAATTTCAGATATCATGTAGAATATATCATTAACATCCTTGAAAAATTAGAAGGTCGTAGGAGTTGTTTTTAAAATAATATGAAAAGGCATTTGAAAGATGTAAAGAAAATTAGACATATTTAATTTAAATTTACTGTAGTTGCTACTCCATTAATAAAAATTTTAAATAGGAAACGAAGATAATTATTTTTGGATGAATACTGTCGTCGTAGCTCAGCGGTAAAGAGCGCAGATGCGTAAAATCAAGATCTTGACTTTGTTTTTAACCGAGGCGGTTTTTTCTTTTAATCTTGAATAGTTGCATAATGGAACTATTAAGATTTCTAATTTTAAGTATAGTAGTATTTATGATGTTTTATGTTAAGATTCGATCAGGCCGCGGCCTTCAGTCAATATTCGGTGTCTTTAAGTTTAGCCACGGCGGAGCTCTTGCTTGTTAAAAAAAAAGTTGTCACTTTTTAATGGAATGTCCCCTGGAATATTCCCGAAAATTTTTAATTTTTTCCCATCAAATTACATACAAATAGGGCTGTAACGCAAAATACGCATTTAACGGGGTGTACTGGTGAAAAGCATTTTAGCCCGTCCGATTTGGGAAGTCAAATCTCTGTGGCATGACCTCGCGACCGGGAGGCTAACCACTTACTGCATCCCCCCAGGAAATCAGAACATTTAATTCTCCTCCCTCCTGGTGGCGTACGACCGCCTACTTGCGTCTGAATCGACTAAGCGGTCTGCGCTCGACTTACCGAGCATCCTCAAAAGCCTCTAAGAAAAAGGTAAACAATTAATTTTATTTTTTTTATTTTATTTCTTTTTTATTTTTTTAGTTATTACCTACGACTCAAAATTTATGAGGGCGGGAATAGAGAAAACGCAACCATCGAAACCAATAAAGAGAATTGCGCAGGTAAGAATAGAACTCAGGCATTTAACCTGCTACAATCTAAGTAAAAGTATATTTTCTTTAAGAATAAACAAAATGCTTTTTTAGAGTCAAAAGCATATTTCGAGATAAAAAAACGTGCAGTCATTTAGGCCTGTCAAACATTAAAGAATAGTACTATAATCAATCACTTTTGAGGCGATCAGTCAAAAGATCAATTTGGGGGTTCCTGCACCACACCTAGAAATATGGCCAGATATCAACCCCTCCACTCCTGTGTTACTTCACTACATGATATTTTAGCCACGCTTTAGAATATTTACAAAAAAAAAATTATAAAAAAAACCCCGTAAAACCAAAGCAGGGTATATTTGACTTATCTGAATGTTTTAATTTTTTTGTTAAAGTCGAGAATAATAAGTCAATCTATGGCATGTTCGTTCCACGAAATTTGTTGCGCGTTCAGGTATACAAGGTTATTATAAGGAATAACGCATTAAATATAAATGAACAATGGTAATCAACTTAGACTTCATTGTATAATAGGTGCCAACAATAGAATACTTCTTACTTAATAACATCACTTTAAAATAAACTTCTGCATAAATTATATGATCCTACAAGCCTTTTACGCTGAAAAGAATTTTTTTTTTATAATAATGAGCGTACCTTGAGTTTCAGAGTTTTCTAGATGGGACAGTACAGGGAAAGAGCAGTTTAATAGTTCATATGAATAAGACCTATAATATAACATCGCTTGTAGTTGTATTGCCATCAAATTCACACCCCACAATTTAGCCAGTAGCTCAAGTAAACTAGTTCACCACAATGCAAAGTTTTTTTTTAATATTTCTCAGTTTGTAGGGGTAGGTGGCAAATACTTTGTTGTAGTCGCAAAACGACAAGAAATTGAAAGTTGACATTTTTAAAACAGATAAACATAATAAACTAGAAGTCTGAGAAAAGTTAGTATATGTATTTAAAGCCCTTAAGCTTATGGAACTCAAATAGAGGACCCGCCTTATAAAAGCTAACTGTAAGAGATAAATAATTAGTTTGTAATGGTTGCAAAAGGAGAAGGAATAAAAGTTAATTTGTATAATAATAAGTTATATTAATTTTTATTAAATTCAATACGAAAAACTAAAAATGTTTTTCAGTGTGAAGGTGATACGCAACCCTCGAATCCTTACGGGCTCAGGAGGCAATAACCTTTCCTTCCTCCTGCTATCCGCTTAAATAATGTTTGCCTCCATCAGGTCATTTCTGGCCTTTTCTTCGTCTTTGCAGCCGTTAAACTCTTATACTTGTTCATTTTTATATACTAACATTCATTCTCCTCATAGTTTGAGCTTTTTCAATGATATATGTTTTCTATAATAGGAGAACTTTAAAGATAACGCCCGTAATGAAGTTTTTAGTTTTAAGGAATAGACATCGGTTAAATTCTGTTGGACTTGATCTTCAGCTCCTTTATTCGACTACAGCAAACGGCAAAAAGCCAAGAGTTGTTATAGTTGGAACCGGTTGGGGGGCTCCAGACTAGCCAGAGACATTGACGTTAATTTAGTCCTTCTAAAGGTACTTTCAGACTGCCTTATAAAAGTACAAGCTAAGCTTGACTACCTTTACCTGTTTTATAATTTGCATATCCCATGAAGGTTATTTCTGCTAGGAATCACATGCTTTTTACGCCTTTGCTTCCCCAAACATGCTGTGGTTCTCTTGAATTCAGGTTTTTCTTTCAGACAATTTCTTTTAGTAACTTTTATAAGGAATTCACTAAACGAACAATTCATAAGATCCATTTGCGAGAATATACTCAATATTCAGCCTGCGCTTAGAAAATTTCAACATTCCTATCATCATGGTTTTTACGGCTTTCTATTTACTATTGAATATTTATTTTTTAAATTTCCTTTGAAGGGATGTGCTATGACGTAGATGCCAAAAACAAAATTCTTAAATTTTTTACTGTAGACCCTCATAATCCTAAAGTTTTTTTACAAATTAATCTGAAGTTTTTATTATTCTTATCTTTTTTGTAGGAACTCTTCTATTACAGTGTGCCATACGACGTCGCCATCTTGGCGTATGGCTCAGAACCTCTGACATTTGGAATTGAAGGTCGATTATATTATACTTTTATTCTCTTTTCGAGATCCGCAGAGGTTTAAAGACTATATACAGTACTATTGTGAGACTCTGCGATCTCATTTAATTTTTTTATTGTTAAACACTTTAGGAGTTGAAAAGTACTCTTTTTTTCTACGCGAAATCCACGAAGCAAGAGGGATACGTAGAAAACTTATTAGAAACATCCTCATGGCGCAGTCGCCCGGCCTTTCTGAAGCCACCAGGTTTCTGTCCGGCTAGGAACCATCTTATTTAGATTTATAAAGGCTGACGGCTTGCTACTATTCTTAGGCGGCGACTGTTAAAAGTAGTAGTAGTCGGAGGTGGCCCACAGGCGTGGAGTTTGCAAGTGATCTTTGCGAATTTATAAAAAAGGATCTCAAGAGAATCGGTCATGGTTAGCCCTCGGGGTTTACCTTCACTGAAAAATTTGCTGCAACTCTGCTTCCTTCAAGGTCTTGCCGAGGATTTTAAAATTGTTCTTGTGGAAGCTGGAGAAGTTCTGGGAACTTTTGATAGAGATCTTCGCCAGTACGCCTCTGGAAATCTTCAAAAAATAGGCGTGGAAATAAAGTAGATATTTTTTGTTATTAATGATTGATTAAAAAGTAAATTTTAGTATTATTTCTGCTTAGACGAGCTGCTGTTGAAAAGGTTTACCAACACGAGGTGGTGTTGTCCGGCGGCGAGCGTTTGGACTACGGACTTCTTGTTTGGAGCACCGGAGTGGGGCCCACCCCGCTGACCTTGGTCCTTAGCAGGAGAACATTCCCGGATTTCTTTATCTAATGAACGTGCAGAAGTTGCCCTTTGACAAAACGAAACAAAAAAGAATCGCAGTGGACGACTTTCTGCGTGTGATGATTGGTGGGAAGCCGGCGGACGGCCTCTATGCTATTGGGTACGCCTCTTTCCTCGTAGCAAGGCATGGCGGCTCGGTCTATCAGTGTTTCGTAAGGGACTGCGCCGGGACGCTGCCCCAGTTGGCTGCCGTGGCAGAGCGGCAAGCCAAGTATCTGGCGGAGATGCTTAACCGAATAATGAAAGAGCCCAGGACGACCATTTCTCGTGTGAGTTATACTCTTCTATTTTTTTTTGCAAGCGGTGCATGAGATTAACATATGCAGGACGGCCAGAACATGGTCACCGTAGAAGGTCAACCAGTGTACTGTTCCGATGTGGTTCAGTGTTCTCTGCTCTCTAGTCCTTCTTCATTGGTCAGTACATAGTTTTCCCAGGCAAGCCCTTTCAAGTACCGGCATCTGGGCTCGATGGTCTCGATTGGCGGCCGCAAGGCCCTGGTGGACCTCCCGTATAAACGCTTCAATATGAAGGGATTTCTGGTAGCCTCATGGCCGGCCGCCACGTATCCGGTCATTTCACACAATAATAGGCCTGGCTTGTCTGGCGGTCCGCGTACTTGACGATGATCGGATCCTTTCGCTCGAGGCTTTACGTCATGCTTAACTGGTCGACTTCGTTTTTATTTGGTATCATTTATGACTATTTTGCCTGTCACGCGTTGCCATAACTCAAACTGTGATTCGCTTAAAAGGACGAGACTTGACGTATATCGCCAACGCTACGGAAGCTAAAGCTTTGAAAGACGTACACGCTGGAGTTCTCAAGGGAGAGTGTGCCGCTGAAAAGAGCATGTAAGGATAAAGATTTTTTTAAAAAAAAAGGGGGGCCCGCACCACTTTTTAATGATGCCTTAAAAATAACAAATAAACAAGTTTCATCCCTTTTTAGTTCATAATAAATAATAACGCTCACTCGGCATAATGATTAATATCACAATCGGGAAATACAAGAAATTTAAAGGTTGCGCAAAAACAGATTTTTCTGCTTAAAGTCATTTCGCCTCCATTAAACTCTACTTCAGTAAAGTAATACTAAAGACTCCTCAGAGACAGATGTAGTTCGGCGATTCGTCGTATTCCGCCGCGACACAGTGGTTACTGGGTTGGAAAAAAGTAGGCGCCCTCACATCGAAAGACCACGTGCTGTTGTCCTATGTTGGGCATGCCCGATACACAACACACGTGCTCCCTGTACACAATACTATTTACCGTTAACTCCTGCAGGGAAGGAAGGCAGCTAGTCTTCTGCTTATAGCGCTCCGAATGCTGCAGAGAACGAGCGACAACAGCGCAGATCTCCTCCTGGCGGGGCACTGTAAAAGCAGAATCTTGGAAAAGTGTTTTTAATAAAAGGAGATACACGTTGGTTCTCCAGCTCTTCATCGTCGCGTGAATCGTCGCGATCAACGTTAAAAGGAGTAAGAATTTCTTGAAAAAAGTTATTATTTCGGTCGTATCTGGAAGATATTAGCCAAGAGTAATTTTTATAATTAGTTCTTATACGAGAGGAGTCTCACCTCAATTGAGTAAGAATCTTGAAGGCCCTCCTCCCCACTAATAACGTTTTTTTCTCATTGTAAAGAATAATTTGTACTCAGCAGAGTAGAAATACTGGTATGACGTGCGTAGCCCAAAGTGCTAGCGGTTCCTGGATAGTTCGCTATATTGGATCTTATACGCCACAATTCAAAATCTGCTTTGTAACGCGTGGCTAATCGCACTGCCTCAAGATGCCACTTCTGGTATCAACAAAAAAAAATTCGAGCTTTATTATGTGTCTACCGGCCGATCTTTGAACCTGCTTCTCTTCTAAGCTCAGTAAATTCCATTCAGCCAGACATTCTTCTACAGTCGCTGCTAAGCATAGATTTTATTATATAATCCCTGAGGCAAAGGAACCGGTACTCACCACCCTTGTACTTTTTTTTGTTCCACTTGAAAAAAAGCTGGAATGGGCGCTTCGGCATTTTCGGTTCCGTCAGTACTGGCAAGCTGCTTTGCGATAAACTCAAAGTACTACTTTTTTCTTCGATGAAACCATCTCGAAGAGGTCTTGCAGTGAAAGTGTCAATTGGCCGAGCTTGAAATAGTAGAAGTATTGAAAAGATCAGCAGATTATTATAATACAATATACTTTTACCGGTAGAAAGATACTGAACATATTCCAGAACAAAAAGGCTATCTCCAATAAGCTTGTAGCAAATTTTCGTAAGGCCTAATAAAAAAAATTGAGCTACAATCTAAAAGGCGTATAGAGTGAAACCTTTGGTGGTTGCGCTGAAACCACCAGTATGCTTGGAAACTTTTAAAGCCTAAAAGATGTAAATAACAGAAGAAAATTTTGTGTTAGTAATTCCAAAGATATGCAATATTAACTTAAGAACGTGCAATAAATTAACAATTAAAAACATTAATTCCTTTATTCTTTAGAAGTTGAGTAGCAGGCATATTCGGCCAAAAGTAACCGTCCGTAGGAGAATTTCTCATTAAATTATTATGCATATAAATAAAACGAGTTCCCACTATTACAAAAAAAAAGGAGATGCTAAAGAAAATTCTTATATAATTTTTATTATAACTACCTGAAGGCTGATTTACGTATTTCCATGAAAAAGTCATCGACTGCGATAGTATTTTAGAATGTGCATTGACCAGTTCTTTATAGACTTCCACCGGAGAAACTTCGTCCTGCCGCGGGTCCATTGGAATACTCGCCTTTAAAAAGTTTTATATACTTCTAAAAAATAATAGATGAAAAAGAACCTACCACATAGAAAAAACTATGATTTGGCTGATCCGATGCAATTGGGGGTCGTTGAACAAGCATAGCGATTAATAAGTTATTAAAAGGTATTTCTTTTGACTAATTAAGTTTTTTGTACAGTGCTATAAAGCTGTAATAAAATTTCTTAAACTTGTTATACGAAAGATAAAACTAAAAAGAGAACGTTTTTCGCCATCAGCTTTCTGCGATAACCCTCCCCCTCTGCATTCCATAATTTATTCTAGAACTGCTCTAAGTCTTCCGTCCCTATTTTTCTTATTTCACTAGGTATTTGTATTTCTCAATCATTAAAACTGATGTTGAAAGAAGAGACTTTTAAAAATGTCTAAAAATTTTGATTACAAAAAGAATTTTTATGGTTATAAATAAATATAAAGCAATTTTTTTTTAAGTATCTAGTTACCTGTAAAACCTCAAAAAATTTAAACTTTTACAGTAAGTATTAATAAGAGTGGCCCTCTAAGTTAATATAAACAAACTGAATTATAAAAAATTTACTATTTAAGCCAACAAAATAAAAGTTAATTTAACATAAACTTTGTGTTATGAAAAGAAAACAGATTTTACTTTAGAATACAGGCAAGGGCTTGCCTTTTTTAACAAAAACATCTTTCGCTACAACTTTTTACAAAAAAAAAATTAAAAAATTGCGTCTACAAGTATGCTTAGTTTTAAATGATAAACTAAGCAATTAAATATATTCTCTAAGTAATAAGTAATAAAAAAGCCAAGTAAGAAACGAGTTACAAATTAATTTTATTAGAACCCAATTTCATTAAAAAGAAAAATTATAAATAGTTTAAATAATAGACTTTACACTCTTTCAAAAATTTTGCAAATTCTCGAAAACCGCTAAGTCATCACACTTTTAGTGTACAAATATAGCCCTATCGGAATAGAAAAGCAAAATAGGAGAACTAGGCAACTAACTCGCCAGACAATCTATAGTCTCTTTTTTTCTTCTTGTGTGCGTTTGCCGTTATTCAAAAGTTCCAACTCCTTCCTTTTCTTCTTGTACTCCTCTTTTAATTCTTCCATTCTTGTTTTTACCATATCAATGGTCATGCTTTGAACTTTCAACTCATACTGCTTGCGTATTTTTTTATAGTCTACTTTAAGATGCTCCGAAACTTTCCGTGCCACTAAGTTGGTTTTTAAATTTATTTGTAATCCTAAATTTTGTATTTTCGACTTGGTTGTTTTTTTCATATATTTTTTGGAGTTGTATTTCATACTATTCCGTAAAGCATCCTTAACACTAATATTACTTGCTTTACAAGAAAAATCGCTAACGCTAGTATCTTCAAAAGTATTATTACCATGAATACTACTTTTATCGTCAGTATTAGCAAAGTTATTATCATCCCCAGGAAGGTTACAAAATTTGTTGTCATCAATATCAGGGGCATCAATAATAAAACTATCAAAGCTACTGTCTTTAACACCAAAAATTAGGTTATCTTCTTTACTACTAGCACTATCATCAAGTTCATACGAACTTTTTTCAATAATAATATCATTCAAGCTTTCATAACTAGTACTACAACAGTTAATAACGTTGCTATAATTACAACTTTCTTCATTATTTTCAATGTTACTATAATTATTGGTATAATTGATATTATCACTATTGTTATTGTCACAATTACTATCACTACTATTACTACAATTAATGTTACTAACATCGCCATCACTATTATAATTAACATTTGCACAAATATCACTATTTGCCTCTACAGATGCAAAAGTTTTAGTAACTTCAGCTTCATTATCTATAATTAATATCTCATCAAGTAAGCTGGTATCCATATCGCATTGGCCACTCACTATATTACTATCGCAAACAACACTCTTACAATTACCAACTTCAAGCTCTTTCTGTCTAGGTTTCTCTAACAAACTGTGTTTTGTTCCTATAAGGCTAGTAACTTTTGTATTATATTTATTATTTTTTACTTCTTGCTCAATACCAGTTCCAATGGATGCATCTAAAATGGGAAGATCAACCTCAAGAGAATTAAAAGAATCGATAAAGCCCTGATTGGGCGGCTCGAAGGACTCAGCAAATAACTTTTTTCCCCTCTTATTGCTCGCGTTAGTATGAGAGGAATGAGTCGAAAGCATCGAACCCACAACGGATTCGCGAGGGGACAACTCGTTTAAACTTATATTAGGCAAAAAAGATGGACGCTTTTCTTTTTCTTCCATTTCACGTAAAAATAATGGCCAGGCGTAATCGGTGGGAACAAGACCAGTTTCAATGTAGCTGAGCGCAACTAAAACTCCTTTATTGTTCTTGAAATGTGGAACATTGCGTTGAAATAATTTATATAGAGGCACAGACCGCGAAAAAATGCGAAGACGAAACTTGGATACTAACGCACTGTAGATATTTACAACTTAATAGGCATTAAAATAAAAAAGAAAATAGAATTACAATTTGCCTGTGTCAAGGTAGAGAACGACGCATTGTGAAAGTGAAGGAATCAGGCCATTCATTACTGTTCCATCAACTTCATACTCAGGCACAATCTGGATATTAAAAACTAAAAAAGCAAAGTATTTCCTGCAAAATAATCACACTCGCACAAAACTAAAAGTTGGTCTCTAAATAAGAATGGTAAGCGAACCAAAGCGACGGGCCAAAACTCCGCTGTAGCATCTAAAGGATCCACAAATACGCACTCACGCTTAGAGCCCCAATGCTGATCAGCTTCATCGAGAAATTCAAAAATGCTATCAGAAGATTTATATAAAGAGCTCTGCGTAGCGCTCCGGTTCAAATCTTATTATAAATATAAATGAATGATACAATAAACAGTTTTATTATATAGTAAAATTCATAATTTAAATATACATAATAAATTTTATTAAGACTAACCAGAATCTGCCTCATTTTCTAATTTCAGTGAATTACTTTTTTTATAAGAGTTCGGGGTTACAACCGGTGCCACAAATTTCTTTGGATCAGTAAAAGGCATGTTGACGAGAGTGCTCATATTTAAGAAAGCCCTATCACCTTTATTAGATTAAATAAATAATTATTATAATACGCAAAAGAATAATAGAAAACCTTTAGGTCTTAGTCCAGCTGAAGTGACGACACTAATTTCATCATCGTCAAACTGAACAGTATACTTACTTTTATCAACAATCTTACTAATAACGCCACTAACGAGAATACCTTTTAAATATTAAGTGTTTTAAATATCTATTAAATCATTTAATAAAAATAAATTTCAAACCAGTTTCAGGGTGCGAAAAAACAACCGATTCCCCAACGCGCGGTTTAATTTCTTTGATTTCTGAATTTTTTAGAAGTTCAGACCATAATATTTTCGATGTTTTCCTGTTTGGAGTAATAAGCCCTTTTCCACTGTCCATAAGGGAGACATGAACGTATAAACATGTATCAATGGACAAAATTTTTGCTTCGCAGAAGGCTCCTCTAAACAACATAATGAATACTAATAAATAAAAATATTCGTACAACGAACATAATTACTTAAACTTAGCGCTGACCTCTGCTCCGACAGGAAATAATTCAAAAGACAAAGAACTCTCTGATCCTGGGAAGGAGTTTAAACTTTTATTATTGCAAACTATAATACCCTGATTATTTGATGTCATTTCTCAATATACAATATAATAATAAATTAACGATTAGGTAAACTAACTAACTTTAATAAATAATTCTCAATAGCTAAAAAAACCACATTTCCATACTACCGAAGAAAAATTAACAAAACTCAAGTTTTTAAGCACGCGATAAACTGCTTTCGAAAAAAAAAAATAAGTAAAAGATTGATAATCACCAAAAAATAATTGTCACGGTAAATTAAAATAGGCCTAACAAATGTGCGATTAGTGCTTTAATGTTAACAAAATGTTGCCAATTATTAACAACTGGCAATTAAGGGGCCTTTCCTCGTAGGTTTCAAACGAGCAGAAACCGTAGGTGTTCATCTGCCTCAAGCGGCCTACCGTCTCAAAAGTACAAATGCAAAGTTATTCACTAATATTATCTCAACATTAAGCATATTTACTCTAAATCTAGAAAAAAAAGTTTATAATATGAACACTCTATAAAAAAAAAGTAATTTATGATGTTGTGCCTTAAAGAACCTTGGTTGCCACCAAGCATTACCCGATGTTCAGAAACAATTTTAAAACGTATTGTAGCCAATTACGTATATGCATTAATCGCCAACGGGTTTACTAGCATTTATGATTATTCTCCTCATTACCAAGCAAGATTAAGGGGTTAAGTTTATTAAATAAATTACTTTGCCCAAAACTGTTATTTATAGTTAATATTTTAAACTGAATTAAAAATTAACTCGCACACCAAGCTGTCAGAAATTGGGTACTGATAATTTTTATAGCAATTTGAATATATTTTGAAGAAAAAAAAAAACAATTTTTACAAATAAACAAATAAGGATGGTTATGAATAGTAAAAAAAATTTACTTAACTAAATACGGTAACAACTCGGCTGTCTTTGCGTACCATTTTTGAGGTATATGCAATAGTGCAACATTTAACTTAGTCAATATATCAGGAAATGCTAATTAATTTAGTTATAATAAGCAATCAAATATCTTCTTTTAGTTGAAAAAAGATATTACTTTTAATTTGTTTAAAAAAATAATCAGTTATAATATAGTAATAATTTAAAATTGTTGATAATGTTATGAAAATATAAGCGTAACACGTTTAAACGCTTAAGTTTAGAACAAGATATACTGAAGCTAAAACTCTGATAACATCAAAATACATATTACTTAGTAAGTTTATCTTATAGAAGGTATGTGAATTAGTAAGAACACCAATAAAAAAAAAACCACATATTTAATTATTAATTATAACTCTCGCTCTTTGACGACGGCGATACCGGATACTATAATTAGCTATTTGCCAACATTTAAGTATCAACCTTCTGAAGACGAACCACAACTTTGCTTTTAACTATTCTAAAAAAGAGAACACCTTATAGTGTAGGAAATAGAAATATGTATATTAATTTTTTAATAAAAAGTTTACTTATTGACCAGCGTTAACCTTCTCTAAATGAAAATACTTATTAAAAAGCAACGTAACGAAAATCAAGAATATGGCTGGAAACAAGAGTAGAATAAGAGTTAAATTCGTTCGCCTACAAATTTGTCATATTTACAGGTTTACAATATAAACTATAATAGATTGCTGAACTCGATCTTTCAAGGTTAAATACTTCCTCTTAGAAGGTCAACTCGTGAACTTAGAGGAAAACGCAAAAGATCCACGGAGGCATTAGAAATATTAGATTTCCCCGTTTTACTAAAGCAGCCCTACCTACAAGGGCCTTGCGAGTTAAAGGGTGCCAGCAGTGTATTAAATTTTAAAATTTCTGGCTGCATAGTTATAGTGAGTTTTTCAGTTTAGTTCTTTTTCCATCACGACCAAAACAATAATTTTAAAACCAATAAAAGTGAACAATATCATAATACTTTTTTCTATATTAATTTAATTATTAAAAAATTTTTTATATAAGGTAAATTCTATAATGATTTTTACGACTCCGACTTAACATTATCGTTACTTTTCTAATTAGGAAGACAAAAACTGAACGCCTTTGGTGTTCCGGCTCCTCTCAAAAGTGAAAAATAGAGTTTGAATGCTTAAAAATATTAAGGGTTTAAGCGTTCCTCTGCATAAGTAAGAACTGTTGAGGGGCCTGGTTAGGGGCATTGTAATGGGGTTTATAGCAAGTTTTAGATCTTATGCTTGGGACTCCCGTTAGCAACTTTCTGCAGTTTTTAAAACTACACGCTGATTTAAATGCCATTAAAAAACCACCAGTATTAATACAATTCGGGTGTATTAACCCTTTTGAATGGTACGAGCGTAAGTTTTGTAAATTGCGGGCTTGGACAGAGTTTTTAAAGGAAAATTTTTAAATAACTATATTTTTTACTAAAAAATTAGAATGCAAGGGTTTATGGGAAGACCTACCTCACAGTCGCTGCGCATACATAAAGTAATTTCAAACTCGTTGAAGTCCACATTTTACAGTAAGTATATATACATTCGTTTAAGTTAAACAGTTTTTAACGATCTCACACCCTTTTATATTAAAAAAATAACTATAAAAGATACCTTCATCTAATTATAATATACATAGAATGTAACAAAGGAGAAGTACTCTAATATCAAAAGTAATTCTTTCCTTAAGCAATAGTTAAAGTACAAAAAAAGGAAGACAAACTTTACTATTCACTGGGGAAATTATATTTTTGAATAACAAAATTTATAAACAAGTTAATTTTTTATAAAAACTTATGCTATAATCGCTCTGCCTATTCCGATATTGAGTTTGCTATAAATAAATATGGTAGTCCTACTTTGCTGAATTCTTTATTATTTTTTCACAATTATTATTTTTATAAATTTAAATATTTCAAGTGTGCATCGCACACTTTGACTCCACTATCATTTTTCAAGGGCCGCCTTTTTCAAACTAAAAATTGCTTCAGCCTCTCCAGTTTTTTTTGCACAAACTTCATCAACCTAACAGAAAAATTATTTTTTAAATAGTAAACAAGTAATTATTGGCATTATAACAATACTGTGCGGTTTGTACAGAAAACTTCAAAATTATAATAATAAAATCTTTTTTGATAATTAAAATTTAATAAAATTAATCTAATTAAGTATAAACGTGCCTCTTTTTCTAAACGTTTTCTGGTAACAGTGTCAAGTTTATTCCATTCAGCGTTAAATTTACCAAGCACTAAAGTATAAGTATAATTATAACAATCTCAAATTAGTAAAAAAAAAATAGAAGTACACTTTTAAAGTTTACTAAAGTTATTAAAAATTTCAATAAATAAATAATCAAAAATTTAACTGATTTAAATATTGGGTATAAAAAAGGCATAAACGATTATAATTAAAAAAACAATAAAAACGTTTTCTTCGAGTATTTCGAACTGCCACTTTTGTTGTTTCTAACGATTGCTTTGCAGAGACGATAATTTCCTGTCTTTGTTCTTTGCTTGGCCTGAAAATCAAATAAAAGCACGGATATAAAAAAACAAATATGTTACAAAAAACTAAAATTCTACGAGTAACATTTAAAGTAAATCATAAAAATATTAACAATAAGTTAAAAAAGTTAAAAAAGAAGTATTTATTTTATAGCTATTCTATGAAACACAAAACTTATTATTATTTTTATGTAAACTACTTTGGAAAAGTTACGGAAATTAAATTTTCAGTGGAGGAAACAAAAAGATTAGAGTCCGCACAAAGAGCTTTTTGAACGGATGGCACCAACTAGTAAATAAAATTAACTTCGTTATACTGAGAAGTACTACCGAGCTTAAAAAATAACAACAATGGTAAGAAGGCAAACTATTTATCAAGCTAGTTATATGTAATAATTATTGTTTGAAAAAAATAAAAAATTAGTACAGCCAATGCAATAACATAACAAAAATATTTTTACTAAGTATAAATTTTATATTAATTGTAATTTTAAAAACTTCTAAAAGTATACTTTAATGAAAAGTACGAAATGTAGAGTTTTTTGGTAAATTACTTAGGTGATCTATCAAATTTATGTACCTTTTTATCAAATATGTTGATAAGCAAAGAAGGGCCTTTTAAAAAAATCTGCGCAACAGCGCTTAACGGGGTTTCGGTGCCATTAACCATGAGTTTTAGTTCTTCAAACGATCCTTAAAGTTTCATATTTTCGTTATACTTGGTTAAAAAAGTATAAAAAAGTACTTATAGGAGGCATCCCCACGCGTAATTTATCGAGAACTGCCTTATACTTGCTTATGGAGTTCTATATGGGTAGTAAAACCGGTTTGACAATATTTGTAGGTAAGTAACACTAATCTAACGTTTAGTTGGGTTTCTAGTTGAGAAAGGAGCTCTTTTTTCTCAGTCTCAAAATAAACAACTTTTTCATTGGAATGATCCTTCGCAACTTTTTGAACTTTAGATTTGGACCCATAAAATCTATTAAACTATGCAAGTAATAGTTAAACATAACTCAACCGTTTAAAACTTATATACAAAATAAGTTTAATAAGGTAAGGCTAAGAGTTTAGATAAAATATCTAAAAAATTATTAAGTATGTACTACTTGGTGACAATAAAAGGATGGCTTTGGCCTATCAAACAGAAACAATGATAGGCAGTTGTCGCATTTTGCTAATAATCGAAACATAGAGAGCTTCAGACTGGCATCTTCACAACCTGCGCCCGCGAGGAAACAGTGGTTAATACGACGAAACAGTGAGAATAGTAGTCGACTTTATTTGGCGTTTGTAATCGCTTTTACATAAAATTTATGAAATTTTCGGGAAATTTAAAAGTGGTTGGGAGTATTCTTAATTACATATTATTAAGATTTGGTAGTTTTTAATCTATTATATTAGTTTCCAGCAAAGCAGCTATCGAGAAATTATGTTTTTGATATGAGGGTGGCTGCGTAAATATGTCTGCCAGATTTAGTCTTGAGGGGATATATTCAATGTAGTGTATTTTCTTCTTGAAGTTCATCCTTAATGTAGAGATAAGCTATGTCAATATGTCTTCCCCTTCTGTTCGATGCAGCACCTTTTACTACATCTTTTACTGCTTCTTTGTCAGTTTAAAATTTACTTTTAATCCCTAATTTGGAAATATTTCCAAGAGTAGATTTTTTAGGGATAATGTGTTTGATATAGCCTTGCTTAAAGCTATGTACTCGGCTTCACAAGATTTATTTATTTTTGATTTATCTATACCAGATGACCATTGCACTGGAGACCCGTTAAGTAAAATAATATAACCCATGGTTTTATAATCGTTGGAGCCAGTCCACGTGGAATCACAATAGCACTCAATTAAGGTACTGTCATCAGAATTGTTATTACACCTCATATGAAGCTAAAGCTTTCTTGTTTGATATAAGTAATTAAGAATTCTAAGTGCCAATCTCATATGTTTATGATCGGAAGGGGGAATCGGCTCAGTAAGATGTCACGTAGGAGATATTTGGCCTAGTGCAATCAGCAATATTACGTAAAGATCCGGTTAAACCATAATATTCAGTGTTACTGTTTCCTTCAATAGGGTGTTTCATTTTAGTACAGGTGGGTAAAGGAAGTCTACATTTAGATTTTGTGTCAAAAAAAAATAGGGGATTTTAAGTTAAGTGTGCAATGTTATATGTTTGATTTATAGACAATCTTTATTGTCTACTACATTAATTCCCAGAATTCTTTTTAATTTTGTTGCATTATTTTATATTATACTCCTTTTTCAAATCAGGAAGAAAATTTTCATGATCTTCAACTATTATGCAGTCATCAACCTATAATTGTTTCAAACTGTTGGAGTAGAAAATGCATTCATCAGTTTTATTTTGATAATAACCATATATTCTGAGTCTGCAAGCTAAGACTAGCTAATATAATACTAGCACTAATATCTAATCTATAATCATAAAAAAAGATTTTATCAACCTTTAGTCAATTAGTTAGTCTTATGAGTAGACCGTGGCTCATGAACAATGAGCTAGTGCCACCGTCGTCACTCATTACAGACGCTTATATCCAAATGTCTTCGCATGCAACTTAGCTGGTTCCGTTAACATGTTACTGGTATAGACAAGTTGATTTCCACAGTTCTTCCACTGCTTTTCACATGCATGCTATTAGCGAACATGCAAGATTTTCACAGCTCCGCCTGGGCGTCTGAGGTCACGTTACGACGGGCAACGCTAGTATACAACAGCCAGAAAGTTTATTCATAAGTAATCAGATTTGATATGTTGTTCAAAACTCAAAGCGGCGATGCTAATGCCTGAGTCCATCAAAGGTATGATTCCTTCAGGTTGAGATAATAGCAACAGTTTCTAATTAGTGAAAGAGTCTAGCTGACTCTTTTAAACCATAAAAAAGGATATTAATCCTTAACGTGCATTTTCTTTTTTTATAATAGCGTTCTTTAAAAAGGTTTCTTTGCTGACAACTCATTTTGTTTAAAATCATATGTAGGCCTTAAAATCTATGTACATAGATTGATTTTTGTAATTTGGTATGAAAAAGGCTGTAGTTATATTAACTGTGTGAATATGTTTTTGTAAAATTTTAGCCATGGTAATAAGTAACAGAAAGGATGACTTGGAAAGGACAAAGGAAAACTCTTAATAGTCGATACCGGGCACTAGTTGATAACTTCGCAGTCAGTCTCTCTTTGAACGGATTGTTTGACTTAACAAGGAACAACCACTTATTTGTAATAATATTATCATTGCTTAGGCTGTTTATATCAACGATCAAACTCAGCAAGTAAGGATTCAAGTTCTTTATTAGCCGCTTCTCGAAAGTTATCACTATTTTCCGATTGCATGGATTTATTGTATAAAAGCTTTTTGTTAGAAGGCTATTACTAGTTTTTCGTTTTTTAGTGTGAGTGTCAGTATTCTCAGAAGCTCTTTTATTTTACATATCCCCCTATTTCTTCTTTAGAAATGAGCTGATCATCTCATGATTGCAACATTTATGTCGTCAATTTTATATTTTTCAGGGCGTGTTTGTTTAAGGTAAACTTTGTGTATTAGTTTTAATGGGTATCCGTTTTATAAGGGTTATTTTTTTTTTCATGTCTTAGGTGATTTAGATTTATTATTGCAAGAGTAAACACCTAGTTGCGAAACCATTTGGTCACTACTTTCCAAAGTTTCTTCTATCCCTTTGATTATGTCCTATTTATCCATGTTTCATTGGGTTGAGTATAGTATAGTCTATCGTTCATATTATTAATCTCACTTTATTACTAAATTATTAATATTAATATAACTATTACTATTACTATTATTATAATTATCAGTATTATTACTATTATAATTTTGACTATCGTTACTACTACTTCTGTTTAAGTTGTGTTTGTTGTTAAAGTCCAAATTATGATTTGTCTGTTCATTAATATCGAAGATATTTTATCGCAAGTTGCTCGTACATGAGGCGTTATATCTTGCCTAGCTGTATTGTTTGCTTGGTGTCGCATCAATAGTAGGACCGGAAAGTTGTCCTTGAAAAAAATTATCATACTTTAAGAGAGATTGAAGGGGTATTTGCTATACCAAAGGGAAAACTGTCTCCAAAACATACTATGTCCCTAGATCTTGCAAATTTCCCCGTTGTTAAATTAAGTCAAAGTTTATTCATCCTTAGTAGAATCTATCGTTTTAAAAAGAAGAATGTCATCAAGATTCCGATCTGGAGATTTTATTTAAATCTAAGATCGTAAAACAGGAACAGGATTTTACAAACCTAGAGGTTTATAGTAACTTATCCGCGAGATCTTAATCCAAGCTTTTCATTAGGCGACTTTCTTTCATTCTTTTTTGGAACATTGTTTAATAATGTAGACTCCACCCCGTAAAGCTTCGCATCAGAGAACTTTTGGTAATTTGGACTGTTTTAGTATGCAAGGAGTCATGTTAATGTCTAAATTCTTCTTTCGCTCAGCATGTATTGCGGTGTGCCTTTAGGTACTGTTAACAATTTAACACCTGCAACTTGTAGTCCTTGGACAAGTTTATCATAAATGAATTCTCTGCCTTTGTCATCTTTTATTTCCTCAATTCCAACAGCTGTGGTAGTTCCACTTATTTTTAAATTTTTATGTATTTATTGTGTCTTTTAACCCGTTGAATAATTAGATTTTTCATTTCATGTTTAGACTCTGCATAGATAATGGTGACTCCTTTAGACCTAGCGTCCTTTGCGACTACAATATCCTTCTGTCCCTCACATGACGGTATTTCCCAATATAAGGTATCAATATACACTAATTGTCCTGAAATACGTTGATTTTTAGTTTTGCTTATTCTGTTAACTTTTCTATTCTATATCTTACATTTTTGGCAAATTTCAGTCTTGATTTTTAAAATATGATCTACCAGGAATAATTCTTTTTAAATAAGGACAGCTAATATGCCCCATACCTGAAGTGTTCTCTAGGGGTGATGGACTTAGTCTTCATGGTATCAACCTCGTGGTTCATTGCTGTATTATCGTAGCCATGACCGTTTATAAAAATTAAGTCATTCTCTTTTCTGCCTTAAGCAACAATCTTGTCTTTCTTATTAATAAAAACTCTTTCATTTTTAAAACAGATATCATAACCCTTTTCATTTAATATACCTACTGAGATCAGGTATGTTTAAAATTTTTGTCATAAATAGCTTTACCAAAACCTAAAAATTCAAAAAGCCGGCTTGTTAAGCCTGAATACTATCATTTATTGTATTAATAACGTGTTTATCGTATCGGACATCAGTTAATAACTCTCTATCTTTTATAAACTGAGGATAGGCTCCAGTTTAAAGCAACCATCTTCCTCCTGGGTTCCTCGTATTTTCGGGGAATATAATTTAAGTAGGGCCATGATTGCTAAGTAAGGCATACATCTTCAATGTGGTCAATTTTTTTTTACAAAATTTTCATGTTTGCTTTATTTATGGACATTGAGATCTTAAATGTTGGCCCTGACAGTCTTTCCAGGATGGGGCTCAGCCTTCAAAAAAAAATTTGGAGGACTGTTTTCCCATGTAAGTTTGTTGATTACAGGACGTATTTAGGGATGGGGGCATTCGAGTTGTTTTCAACTTTATGCATGTTTTCCTCTTAACAAAGTGTTTAGTGCATAACGGTAATCCAAGCTTTCTGGATTATTACTTTAAACTGTTCTAGTGATATAACGTATTTAATTTCTTCCCCAACCCCGTGGGTGAGGGCTATGATTTTACGTTAAGTTCATAATTTCACAATATGAGGTAACAGTCTCTTAATTGTGCAATGTTCTTCTATTTGACTTGAAATGTGTCCAAACGGTTGGCGAATGGTTTTTTTTTTATGAACTCGTTATCTCTCTTTCTTGAGTGGCACACTTCATGTATTTTGCTTATGAATGTTATCAGTGACTCCTTTCCAAATGCATTTTTAACGTTTTGAACTACTTGTTCTGAGGCGGTCACTCGTAACTCTTCAATTCTTGACTTAATCTCAGGACCTAGACTGTTCAATGATCTGTATTCCAACAGCCTCTTTTTTAAGTTTTTCTGAATAAATTAATTCAGGGTCTCCAATTTTTTCGTAAGGGAAGAATATGTCATGGATCCCTTAAGTAGTCAATGCTAACTTTTTGTCTATCAACCACTATCTTA